AACTGGGAAAATGCTCCATCATTTCACAGCCCCCCAGGTCTTGTAAAATCATGTGACTTACGTCCCTCTACCCTGCTTCCTCCACTCTCTCATCTCCATTAATACAAACACGTCAAAAATCTCAGATGTTAATGATTTCTGCAGCTGCCCACCGCTTGCTCACATTTCAGAAAATACACACTCTGTCTTCAACGCTGAGACAACGGTTTTACTTTTTCGCTTTTAGACATGGCAGCTGTTTTCGTCTTAAATCGGTCTCATCGGATGCAGAAAATGAGCTAAAAGGAATTCAGCAAGCGACTTTTGGGCTAAAATCAGACTCTCCCTTCATGGGGAACCATCTAAAGCACCCCCCCGAGAAATACGCCCCCCCATCAAACCTGCAGAGGTATCAAAGGCTGCACCTTTTAAATGCTGATGCAGCAGAAAGTTAAAAAAAGGAACCCTTAACTGTACCCTTAACAGCCCGTGATTAAGTCCCAGCGTCCCAGCCCACCCCGGCTACTAGAAATGTTTGGAAATCACAAAGAACATCACAGGCGTGTGACAGGCAGTGATCTCCTAAGTGAGACACAAGGCCTGGACCTTGGGAACACAGGAGGCTGCCAGAACTGAAAATGCTATAAATAATGAAGGCAACAGCAGTCATTAGCATTGCCCTGCGCATTAGCATTGCCCTGCGTGTTAGCATTGCCCTGCGCATTAGCATTGCCCTGCGCATTAGCATTGTCCTGCGCATTAGCATTGTCCTGCGCGTTAGCATTGCCCTGCGCGTTAGCATTGTCCTGTGCGTTAGCATTGCCCTGCGCATTAGCATTGCCCTGCGCTAGGGTGACCAGATAATCCATGTCATCCCAGACACCTTGAGCTAGGACAGGATTTTTAAACTACCATTTCAATTAAAATGACCTAGATTTCACTTGTTGTTGCGTGCTGATTGGTCCTATAATCATGCATGTCACTAATGTTAATGTGAAACAGCTGGATGAGTACAGTATTTCAGTCTAGGAAACAAACCAGTCAAAGCACAAGAAGAACGTAACAATTTAGCCGAGCACAGGACCCTTTCGGTTTTAAGGTAGTTTGTAAAAACTGAAGTAGCTCAAGGTGTCCGGGATGACATGGGTTATCTGGTCACCCTACCTGTGCATTAGCATTGCCCTGCGCGTTAGCATTGCCCTGTGCATTAGCATTGCCCTGCGCGTTAGCATTGCCCTGCGCGTTAGCATTGCCTTGCATATATGAGTCCTTCATTGATTTCTTAATCAACCCTTTCATCAAAAGGGTGCTTTCATTTTATTAGCCATTTCTTACACACAGCAGGCTTTTCTTTTCATAAAGTTACCTAATATTAGCTCTAGGGGAAAAGGTGGATTCTGTCTAAGCTTTTGATCTTCAGACATGAATATATCCTGGCTTAATGACCCACTTAATACAGAGGTCTTTAAATAATACACTCATATAAAAATTGCCTGATAAAGCTTTTTAAAAAGGTAGTGTTTCATTTAAGAATAACTCCTTTCCAGTAATCTCCCACTGAGGAGTATTTAACTGAGGGTAAAAATGTATTCAGAGCTTGTATGTTATATAAACATGAATGCCGTGTAAATGAAAAGGAACTTTTAGTAGCTGAATCTGTTAAATGTAACCATTCCATTTTTGTCCATGTAAGGTATCATTTCTTTTGGGTTCCATTTGACAAGAACGACATTGAGAAACTGTTCTGGAAATTTCCCACTGGCAGGAGTGCAGCCCCAATTAATCTTAGTGGGATTTAATCTCCTGTAGCTGTCGGACTTTGACTGGGCCCATGTCAGACCCCTGACCTCAGAGAACTAAAAAAAAAAGGAAAAACAGAAGGTTGTAACAGATTCCTTTGTTAAAGTGAGCTAATACTCTGGCTTTTCACATCCTCTCTCTGTAAAGCAGCTTTCATCAATAACGCAACAAGGTGCGTAATGAGAAAACATGGCCGCTTAAATGTGGACCCGTTTCAGTTCCCCTGGTGGAAACACCGACCTGATGCGATTTTCAGACCAGTGGTTCCTGAGTTACTCTTATTTGCTAACTTATGCTGTTTTTTTTTTATAAGAACTGATTGGAGAAAAATGTTTTCTTTTTACAGAGCGTAAAGATCATGATGGATTATCAAAGACCTGCCAGGTAAAAAAAAAGAATTTAGAATATGACACTGCGGTCGGCACTGCAGAAATGGCCCCTTTCAGCTAAACACAGCTCCCAGAATTCCCTCTCTTACGACAATGAGGATACTCATAAAAATGTTTGAAAATGGCCATTGTACAGCCATCTATGGAGATGTTGCATTGGTGATGGGACTGTTTAATACAGTGGTTCTCAATACAATGCTGTTCCTGGCAGCCCCCCCCAAAAAAAAAAATGTTTTCATTCCAACTCTACCTTAATCAGGCTTATATGGTCCATAATAGGCTAGTAATGAATGTACAAGGTTGAAAGCAGAGTGGGCTGGAATGAAAACATTCTGGCGGGGGGGGGGGGTTGACAGGAACAGGATTGAGATCTACTGGTTTAATACCAAAGAGACAAAGTAGCATTATCCAACACACTCCTGCTCTGCCCTTAAGGGGGGCCAAAGGCCCCCATCCTCTACAGCAGTGGTTCCCAAACTTTCTCTGCAGGGCCCCCCTTTTCTAGATAGGAACATTATTGAGCCCCCCCCCCATTCAAACTACAGTACACAGGTTCAGATTCAAACTTTATTTGAAATACAACTCCCTTTTCTAATTGAGTGAAACAAATGCAATTACAAAATACAAATGGTGCAATTTCACCACTGGGAGAAAAAAGAGCAATCAATTAAAAATAAAAGTCCAGCATAAGTTTGCATAAATTATGCAAATGCAGATTTAACATTCCTGTTAATATTAATTAGCGTACAAAAAAAAAAGTTTGTCTTACGATTACCGTATTTTGTGTTTAATGATAACCGCAGGTTTCAGCCTATACTATAGCACAAAACAACACTAAATCATACCCATTAATTGATAGTCTCCCTGCACTTCATGTAGAAAATTTTAAACCTCGTTTTTCATGATATGGTTAGATTTTTTTTGTCCGGCGCTGCAACTTTTCCCTTATTAGCTGAAGAACGTGTCGTTTGTATGACATTTGTATCATAGGAAGTTCTCCCGAATATCACGTAAAGCAGTGAGAACTGGTTTTCAGTAAATTTACCTGGTAAAATAAAGTTTAAATAAATTACATAAATGCTCTAATAGTACACGTAAGTTAGTGGTTCATTTATTGTTAGTTATTGTAATGTTGCGCTGCTTTATTTGTTTAATCGTCCAGTCTGTGAAGAGATTATTTTAGGGTGTTACATGCCCCTGAGGCTATCCCATTGGTGCGCCCCCCCGCAATACCTCTGCGCCCCCCAGTTTGGGAACCACTGCTCTACAGGGAGAGCATGCCCCCAGCAGAGGCCTGGCTCTCAGTACACCGCAGGCTGCACCTTGGCCTGGGTTCTTGGCGGTCCTAGTCCTGGCTATACCCATAAAGTAACCGGAGAACGATACTTGCATGAGGGCACTAGTCCAAACCAAATTAGGTACCACTTTACAATAAGGCTCCCTTTGCCACTTGTAAATGGTAGTAACTCATTGATAAAAAGTAAACTGTGTTTAAAATTGTCTATTAATAATTTACAAAGTGTTACACCCTAATTCATAACCAGATTATAAACCATTCATAAACTCTTTACATGGGTAGCCTTATTGTAAAGTGGCACCCCAAATTATCCAGAAAACACTAAGGTAGCATCACCAATGCAATTGAGGAGGTTACGTGTATATAGGTAGACTAGGAGTAACACTACGGGTATAGCTATGAATAGTAGGAATACTTTGATTTACAGAATGCTCTTGTTTTTTAAAACTGATTACGTATACACATATAATAATATATAATTTATGTATTTCTGGGCCTCACAGTACTATGGAAACACAACTGCATCATGTTGGAGAATGTGTTCATTAGCCTATACTTAACCATTCTTGCCAGTAATTTTATTTTACCCCGTATAATATATTAAGCTATACCAAGATATTTCAGGCTCCAGTGAAAACCAGGAAAGAGGTAAAAATAAGCATCAGCTCGATACTGCGTGGGGGGGCTCACATGGACTGCCTGCTCTGTCTGATGCCTCCATATGTCTGGCAGCTCAGGGGTTAACAGCCGCCAGCAGCCCCCTCCTTGTGATTCCCGACGCTCCCACAACAGGTTTGTTTTGCTGGAAAAAGTCTCAAAGGCTCGCGGCACATCAAACGAGCCCTGCTTTTTCTAAAGGGGGGGGGTCGTAAAATTTACCCCAACTGAAAGGTGGGTTCCAAGCTCTTAGTAAAAAGCTGATGGCAAACTCCATTAATGCAGTGCCAGCCCCCACCCCCCAGCCCCCAGCCCTCCCACCC